GCACTGTTTGTTGATAACTATAAAGTTTATTTCAGTTTATTTATAAATAATTTCTTCTGTAATAGATGTCTGTCACTTTTAGTCGTAACTTCTTCTTTCATTATTCAACAAATTTTCAGAAACACCTACTTCGAATAAAGTAAATATCGAGGAAAAACACCTTTTCAGTTATTCAAAGCCTTAAAACGTTTCATGTCCTATTTACTTGTCTAATACTATTTTTTTCAGTATAATACTAAATACTCGAGGTGTAAACAACTTTTTATACCTAGTACTAGGTCTAGTCATCAACTTCCTTTGATATAGCCTAATAAGTAGTTAATAACAGATTTCCCATAAATCATGGTGTCGCCGAATAATATCCACAATATGCAAACTAATCGCACTTTTAAACAAGTCTAATTGTGATTCTAAATTGTGTTGTGGCCACTTTTGTTGGCAAGTGGAATGAACACACCGGGGCTAATCTTGCTGCTTACAGGGCGTTCAAAAGAAAAATTTTATTAAACATATTATTTTTTTATTTATTTAACAGGACTACTAAAAATGTGGGGTAATTTATTTACTGACATAATAAGTCATTAATAAGAGTTTATTAAACATACATTTTTTGAATAATTCATATGATTGCTAAAATTGCTCCGCAGATTTTTTCATTTTTTCTTCTGTGAATGAATATTCTAATTATAGAACTCCAAGATGTTACTCGGGATGAACGAGATATCAGAAACTTCCTGTATTCAACATATACGATAATAATGTATACCTCGTATAATGTAAAAGGTATATTTCCTTTTTTATGTATTGACAGGGTACCGGTAAAAGCAAAATCACTCCGAAATAATTCTTTCCTAAATGAATAATTGATTTATCTCGCAAAACCTTTTTGCTACAAGCATATAGAAATACAAAAGCTCTATCTACTTAAATATATCTTTTAAAATTAAATTGTTTTTCTTATAATCATTCATTAAAAAATTTAAAACAATATCATATTTACCCCATTTTCTGTATCCATATTAATTAATTAGCACTGGAACTGGTGAAGTGGATGAAGGGTCGGCATATTATGATCACACAGACTGCAATAATGTCCAGGACTTGTTATGGAAAACCCTGGCCTCTATTCAACAGCCTACTGTGAGTGTTATATAGAAAACATGTATAATAATTTGTTAGACTTTTCGTTTTTCACTTATGAAGTACAGTTTCATATATCAGGTTATGTAAATATCCAAAATTATAGAACGTGGGTCGCGGAAAATCCCCATACATTTGTATAAACCGGTTTACATTCCTTAAAAGTAGGCATTTGGGTAGCGATGTCAAGAAGACGTATAAATAATATAAATGCTGAAAGATATTGAACCATTTGGATTCATTTTTGCAGAGTTACACGATGATGAGTTACAAGTAGGTTACTTTCAACAAGATTGGGCAACCCAACAATTCAATTGTTTTAAGAATTTTATGATCAGCCAAGGGTTGTGGCCAGCGAGGTCACCGGATCTAACTCCTTTGGATTATTTTTTGTTTGAATATATGAAAAATACTATTTTTAAAACAGCAATGCACTACATTGAAGACTTAGAAGTAGCAATTATTCGAGAAATTGACAATGTTACAACAGCAATGCAAAATGTGTGAAAATACACAAGAGAGTAAATTTGTAGTATAGTATAGTATAGTAGAGTATAGCTAGCGAAGGAGATCATGTTAAATGTAATATATAATGTTTTTATTGCAAATATGGCAGTATACTTTACTAATTTATGAATTTGGAATTATTTTATACTGCAGCGAAAAGCAATAGCTTGTAAATTAATGTACACTGTAAAAAAATTTCATTCAAATATCCCTCAATTTTACTCAATAACGTATCAATTTCTGTCCACATCCGATTGAGTGAAATTTTCACTTTTTAGTTTGAGTACAACAGAGTGAAATTATTGCATCTGAAATGAGTGAGTTTTACTCAAATCCGAATTACTACGAACAATCAATTGAGCAACTTTTGACTATTCTGAGGATATAAAACCAATTTAGAGTTGAATTTTCCTCTAGTATGATTTAAATTGAACTATTATTGAATCATTTTTTACTCAGACTTGGTTTTTAACTAACTTAATATTGAGTGCAAAAATAAATCACTCATAAATTATTAACTAAGATATACAGTGTTGAAATTAATTCACTTCGCGGGGTCTACGCCTGTCCTGGCTGAGACCCGCCGCCGCCGGCTAAGGCCTGTTCTCCTGGTGATCACGCTTTTCTGAACCATCTAAAGGGCCCCTATCAACTGTGGTCGAGATTACAGAAGTAATATGTAAGTGGTGCCATCTTCACGGCGCCATTCAAATTATTCGAAATTAATATACATTTAAACTCACTCAGTAATGAGGATATTTACTTCGATTTAGGTGCAAGTGCATCAAATACGAGTTTCCGTGAAGAATTTATTTAAGGAGGAGTATATTTGAGTGAAAGTAATCAGTTTTAGTTAAAATGTAATCACAAATGAGTAAAATGATCAAAATGCCCAATATTGAGTGAAAATGTACTGAATAATTTCACTCAATGGATTTACTACGAACCGTTTTTTTTACAGTGTAACTTTTTCGTGATGCTATTTTATCTATAATAAAAAGTAAACGGCCTATGTTTGTTTTACTCTGTACTTACATAAAAATAAAAATAATAAACTGTTACAGGTTCATATCATGTTTTTTTTTTGGTTTTCTGGTAAAAATTTTTAATTTGTTCATTAACAAGTGAAGTTTGATAATTTTCTCCTTTTATTAAAGTTAAAAGCATTTTAATGAAAAAACAAAAGTATGCTTCGGAAGTATCTAATTCTAAATTATATTTTGTAGCATAACAACACCGTGTTCGATCGAAAAAAAAGAACAAACGTAATTGTGGCCAAAAATATGTGATCGTCATGAGGAATACCTACGTTATATGTATTTATTTTTTAATTGACCGGAAGGCGCTGGCTACTAACTTTAAAGAGGGGAAATATGGTTTAATTTTATAAAACAAAAGCAGAGTAAATACACTTAACTTTATTATTTACGTACAACAGTATTCAAATTAAACGTGACAGAAAGAACAACAAAAACATTAACAACCATTTAACATAAAATGAGAGTGCCAGGCTCACCTAGACCTCCTGTGGGGAAAGAGCATGGCAGAGAAACCCACGATCGTTGCTCTAACTATCCAAATATAAATACAAAACAACCGCTAACAAAAGGCATAAATTAATATCCTTTGCTAATGATAAATAAGAACTGACTTATTTAATGTGTCACTAAATGTCATCTCACTCAAACTAGACATACACACTTCCAAGTAAAACTGAAGAGGTTATAATAATAACAACAACAACAACAACAACAACAACAACAACAACAACAACAACAACAACAACAATAATAATAATAATAATCCTCAAGGGCGAAAATGTTAGTAAATTCAACAACAACAACATATACTTATATGCGTATGACATAAAGTGAGAACAAGAAATGCTTTCTTAGTTGTTTTTCGAACAACGTAATCATGACAAAACAAGTTAAATGTGAAACAATGGAGTTGTTATTGCAATATCTGGGCAGTCACGACAATATATACATATTTTAACATGTAATAAATAATGAGTAATATTTAATAATAATTCTAACAATTTTACGTTAGAAAAATATACGCCCCTGAGCATAAGCATATACAGAATTTTTATCATGAAACATCTATAATCATCACAATCATAAGATTACATAGAACAATTAACAGCAAAGTACTTAGAGAATAATTACCTGCTAATTAATACCGGTTAAACACTTTTTTTCACTACTTATGTACTTTCACCGTACACCGATCGTCTTACTTTTCACTCTACGCTGTTTTCACCTCAACTGTTTAGGCTTCCTTCCAGAATTCCCCACCTATAAGCGCTTGGTTTTGCGCTTCCTTCTACCAACTGTCAATATTACGTTTTCATTATTGTGCAACACTCATGTAACAGGTGACGTCGAAGTTGATACGATAAGTATGATTTTGCGCAATTTATTGAGTTTAATATCGATAATTCATATCAATCAATGTTAAAAACAATTTTATTTAATCACATGTAACCCCTTCAACTGAGGTCTAGGGATTTTCATTTGATATTACCAACCATGAATTGTTGGTTGTCTATACTCGACGGCTTGTAAACATTAATGAAGGCCCTTTATTTGATTTCAAACTTTGTTTTATATTTTGTCTTCGCTTAGCGAATGGCAACTTCATTTAAACAAAATGCATTTTAAGACATGTATATCTAGTTTTAATTGAAATTGCTTATTAATAGACAGTGTCTCTTCAAAGCTTTTTGGTAAGCAACTAAATCGGTAAACTGGATTTCTTTAGCTGCCAATCCATTTCATTTCATTGTTTGATCTAAGGATATATCTGGACACTACTGGAGTGACGTCACATACAAAGTACTGAGGCTTTATGACCCTGGTGGTAATGCTTAAAAACCCGAAAGGAGCATAATTTTTCAAGTTATCTTATGACGAAGCGCTATCGGCGCCAAGTCCGTTACATTTCCCACTGGTCGCTTTGGCTGTGCCACCCCGTACGCGCCGAGTTACACACCCCCAACACCAAAGAGACCCGACGGGGCGGCAGGGTTGCTATTCCCGGTAATAACCAATGAAACGAAAATCACAACACACTGCCTTATCGTACCTTTCCACTTGCAATGGGTCGCAAAAATTACGCCGTCTGGTGTTTTCGTATGCCCGTCACAATCCTGCGTGACTGCCGGCTAGACGGCGACATGATTTGAATAACACTAGGTGCTTGATGAGGCCATTAGCGACACCAGATTCTTGTCGGTTCACCTTAAACCAGCACTGAGTGTATTCGGGGGTTATTAATCAAATCTGGTTGCGTGGAGCGCCTATTAAATTGCGAAAAAAATCAATCGGGACACACCGTGGGACATGACGATGGCGCATTCAGGTTTCTGGGAGACGATGAGCATCCTCGTCGACAAGGACTGGAAGAGGATCGCTATGGAGGATATACAGGACTGGCTGGACAAGATCCTTATGAGGAAAGAGAATTATATAATCGAGGACGACGACGTGTCCGTGATAGCGAAGAGGAGGAGGCTGTCGGTGAGCTCCGAGTACGAGATCAGGGGTGATGCTGACATTAAGAAGTTTCTGAAGCGTTTGAAGTTGCCGAAAATCGACTGCAAGTACGTACATAATTATATACCGATTTCGCACTGTGTTTTTCAGTTCTTATATGGTTGTAGTCGTTGTTAAAAACACATTCCGCTTTTTATTTACACATTTATTTTCAGTCGGTTTAAGATGGTAGGTACTTTTATTATATTTGAAGCTTGGTTCACTAATTGAGTGATTAAATTAATGTGCAATTTGTACGAAATATATTTACTTGTATATTTATAGTCTAACTTGCGATTAGTTAAACAATTACCAACTATCGGCACGTAAAGTTTGTAGTTTTATCTTTTCTGCAGGTAAATTAGTCCTTTTATCTCTGAGTATAAAATTAAATTCCAAACGTTCCAAAACATAATAGGAATTGAGCACAACAAACATAAAATGAGAGATTGAAAGTGGAACGAGAAGCATTTGCTAAAAAGTTATGTCATATGCACATTCGTTGCTGGGTTGAGGGTTTCTAACGTTATTTTATTTATTTTTATCGTTTAATTGAAACAGATGCATTATTTTTTTAAATTTGGTGCACTAATTATTGATAACTTTCACTAAAAATTTAAATAGAGCTAATTGATCGTAACTGCTATATCAAGTTTCCAAAGAATTAACAACTTACAACTCAGACAAAAATAATTAAAAAATCTTTTAAGAGGGTATTCTTGTTGCAGTCTGATGATGTTAATCATTACCTAGGAAAAAAAACGTATTTAATGTTCTTGGACAATAGTTTTTCGATCAATTCACAGTCCTATTTTTAAAAATTAAATTATTCAAATAAAGAAGACCTGCACTTTTAATATTTACGATTATATAAAACAAAATTTTTGTTTATGTGATAATCCTGTTTCATTTTTACCGCAAAATATGTAAATTTTAACTATTCTTTGGGGATTAAAAGCATTTTTCTCGAAAACTGTTAAATTGAAGCAAAAGTGCTTCTATGAAAAATTTTTTGACCTTTTTTTATTATCAATCTCTTAATCTGAACTGCAAATTTATAGGCAAACAAGCATAAAAAACAATAAACGAATATTTTTTTAAATAGGATGTGCATATTTGAAAAATACAAATCCTGACCTCCGTACATTTTCTTCGGTGCCGTTTTGTAAAAAATTGCATTACAGTTTCTTTATAAGAAAATATTAACACAACCTTATTATTTTTTATTTACATTTACATTAATGGATTGTAAGGACTAAAGTTTTATGACAATTTCGAGGAAATATTGGAATAAACATGGTATGTTTAGAACACCTTGTATATTTGTGTTTTTCTAATTCCTCTCTTTTTCTGATTGCAATGGTAGGCTGATTCATAATTCAGTACAAAGAATTTAGGGGCGAATTTTTGAGATTTTTTTCCTATAAACGTGAGTGCAAAATAAATTTTAAAATTGTTCACCGTAAATAGTTATAAAACTTGAAAATATGGTGTGCATTTAACTCTTCATACACAATATCTCGGAAACGGTTGATCTGAGAGATTTCTACCAAATATATCTTTTTTGCTTAAAACTGATTGGGGAATAAACGTGCTAATACGATACGTCAATGTACAGGGTAACGAAAAAGTTATGGTCAATTTAATTCAATCGTACCCTTATAGGTGGCGCCTTCTACAAGTAGCATCAAAAGCAATGACATATTTAAATTTATTATTCTAAAAAATCCCCGTACCCCAAGTTTTAGCCGTACATTTAAAATCTATTTGGGAATAATTCCTAAAAAATTCCAAAAAAATAAAAAAGGAAAATGGTTAAACAACAATTCTGCTGCTACTTTATGGCGCTTGCAGACCGATCCTAGCTTCTCAGGTTTTTGAGTTATTTGGAAAAAAAGTAAATGTGGCATTTTTGGAAATCGTCTATAACTTTTTTATATAGACGAATTTTTAAAATCTGAAAACACATTTTCACGGCAACTTTTTTCGAGGAATTTTACTGTATATTTAGATTTTCATTGCGACGTTTCGGATGGGAGAAACCATCATCACCATTATCTATTATTTTAAGCTGAGCAAATAGAGCTCTTTTTTGGCTTCTATTACATAAGTAAGAAAAAAATTCAAAAACAAAATGAAAAATCAATATTTTAATATTTTAAATAAATTTGGTAAAACTGCATAATTTCTCGAATTTTTGTAAAAGTTTATCATTCCACACTGTGTACAAATGTTGTGGAACAGTGTCTTCCAATACCCTCGTTTTGTTGTAACCAATGGATATATATTCCAAATGTATCAGCATGTACACCTCATTGATTGTAGTGACTTCATTCAATATTTTCTCCCTTAATTGTAAAAAGGGGAAAATTCCAAAAAGCCACAAATATACAGTGTTCCACAAATTTGATTTGATCTTTCTTTGAGATTGTAAAAAAATGTCTAAAACCTTATTTTTTGCAATTTTTTTCTAAAAGAGAGGTCAAAATATAAGGGAGGTAGGATATTATGTAAATACCATTGTAAGCGTGACATTTGTAATCGTTATATTATTTTTTCATCTATTTCCATTGGAAAAACTAATATGATTTTCATTGCTTGCCATTTAGTAGCAGCTTAACGAGAACGATGTACAGTTTTCCATTTTTTCCTTTCATATTATATTCATTAAATTATAACATTGTAAGCTAGCTACTTTCAGTCTTATAGCTCAATTTATAATAATAAAGGAATTACCAACATAAAAAGCATGAAGCGGAAGAAAGAGAAAGTCGCTCTTAGTTATATGGGTTTATTCAAAGCAGCCAGGCATTACGGTTATATCATGAACTGTATTTTACTTCCAAGCCACCGAGTTATTTTTAAACATTTCTTGAACGTAGGATTATTAGGAGCATTAACTTAGCTACTTTTATTGTAAATATCAAATTACTTTATTGACTTCAAGCCAAATATCTAATATAAGTGCGTTAGAGAAAAATACAGTTCAATTTATTTCATCTGGTCAGTGAGAGCGCGCATTATACAGAGTGATTGTATAATTTTAACCATATTTTTCGTATAACTTTTTTGGAAATTCCCAAAAATAAGCAGAATAGTAACAATTTTTGCGTGAAAAGTAAATTTAAAAATGAACAACAATAAAGTCATATTTTAACCGGAAAGTAAATAATTTATTCACTTCAACACAACGGTCTCCATGACATAACTGTTTCTTTAACGATGTGCTACACTGAAAGCTTTTTCTCGTATTGTTCCGCAACTTAATTTATTCAACCAATAAATTTCTCTCCTTACTTGCGTTTGCAACACTATAATCTTCATGTACCCCCACAAAAAATATTACAAGGATTCAGATCCCGTGATCTTGGAGGCTACGGAATGATCCGGTAAATTGTGTAGTCCAATAACCATCCCATTCATTACTGGAAACTGGTTCCCTGGATTGTGTAAGGATTTCGTTCAACTCAAACGTATACATTTTGGAAACTGATGATTCAATTTTGGGTAAACGTTGCTTCGTCCATTTTCTTCTCAACAAGATTTAAAATTTCCTCTTCATTCACGACATTTATTTTTGGTCATTCTGCATGCTCTTCACGATGTTCTCGCAAATCACCAGCTTCCCTAGCTTGTTGAACAAGATTTGTAAACTTCTGAAGTTCTATTGGACTCGTTAGGGAAAGCGTTCTTTGTATAAACGAGAAGCAGGAGCTGCATTTTGATGACACTCCTTGTAAATACTAGTAAGTAGCGTGTCTTCATTATTCTCATAAACATGGGTCATTTTCACTTGTCAAATAAACATTTTAGAGTTTACATTTTGTGACAGGTTAACATGGCGATTTAAAAACTAACTGGTATACATACAAAAAAGACCAAGAAAACTAGACGTACGCATGCAACAGACACCTATTACTGTCGAATTGTTATGAAGTATTGCCATTTTTTTTCTGGTTTCTATTTGGGACTTTCCAGATTTATATGAAGACGTTGTCTATTTTAATGAGTAGAATTATCTAATCAAATTAAAAATCTTCCTCTATATTAATAAAAGTTATAGTTAGAGCCTTGATGTATTATCTGCTACGTTTAAACGCATTAAAGCAGAATTTACTGTATAAAGATATATTTTTATTTATTACTTTTTTCTGCTTTGCGTATTTAAAATTTTATTTGAAATTTGTTGTGGGATCTTTTATTTTTTGCGAGAATGTACAACGTTTACTCTTTGAATTCCATAATAAGGAAATAAACTACACTTTGCCAATGCGCATCCGACCTTCACGGCCAGATGAAATAAGTTAAACTATACACCAATGAATGAAAATATGCATGAGGGGAAAGTCAACGACTGAAAAGTTTTAAACATTTCTATAAATTTTCTTTCGAACTTATTGTCTCATATTCCCTTAACCATTCTACTAATTTCCATACTTCCGTTATTAAATGAGGTTTCTTCCTGTTAAAACAATAAAATTCTCCACTGCGTGCCAGAAATTTTTAACAGCTTGTACAGTCATTATAGAACACACAAAGTTTTTAATTGTGCATTTACTGGCTTAGTTAATAGCACATCTGCCTCCTTTTTCTATATCTACAGGAAGAATGACTGAAACTAACGTCAGGCATAAATGTTACAAAATTCATCAAAACTAACATCCATGTACTCAAAATTATTTTCTCTTTTCAAAAATATATCTTCTCACCTCGATAACAACAAGGATTGAGTGTCAGTGTTACCAACTGTCAATAAAAAATTGCAAGTGAGCGGCACATAAAGATATTTCTAGAGAGCAGTACATTCAGCTATTTCATGTTTTTTATTTATTACAACAACCAAACATGGTTATGTATCTTTCAAAATCTGAACAATTGCAATACTTTCTTATAACATAATACAAAGCCAGAAAATATGTTCCTTATTGTTATGTGAATGACAGATAATGGAAATATTAAAATAATATTTTATTTTGTCGATACCTAGTTTCTATTTTACAGCATATTTCTTTTACAGTGTCGCAACATAAATCTATCAAAGTATACAACTTAAAACCCTATGTCCGTA